TACCAACTGCTTCGGTTTACTCACGAGGAAGCCAAGGCACAGAGGTCAGTGCCTTTGTGCACACTTGGCAGAGGGGACTGAAACCACAGCCCCGTCGTGCCAACTTCTAGTGCTCTGCTCCCTCTCACCCCACTTTCAGAAGCTCAGAAATCTTCCAAGGAGGACAGACCATACTCAGTGAAAACTCTAAGTGCTGCCTCATTTTTACTGGTTTAACTAGTAACCAGCTTGGGGACCGCACCTTTTTGATGTGAAAAAAAACCCACATTTCATTTCCCTGGCCTTTCCTGCTCTGCTTGCTTGGGGTGAAGACAAGTGAGGAAAAAACAAACAAACCAATAGCTGAATTCTCCATTCCTGATAATCAGTCTCTCTGTATGCACAGCAGTGAACCAGAGCTCTCCTCAGAGAGGAAACTATGAAATTTTAAAGTTCTGACTCTTGCCTCCCCTGCGGGGCTAATCCAGAAAACTTTACTTTTGAGTTAGTAATGATAATAATAGCAGTGATCAAAGTACCTCGCACATACTTAACAAGCACTTATCACATTGCTATTATTCTAAGCATTTTGGCATAGGTTTCAATTTCTCTTTCCTATCAGGAGAACACAGAAAAAAAAATAAACCAAACCCTTCCAGACATCACTGCAAAATGCTAATTCCAGCTTGAAGGGCAGGCATAATGGCAGGAGGGTGAATTGTTATGGAGCTAATATGTTCTGATAGACACATGTGCATAATTAGAGGAACCCATAACAAAAGGGGTCATGCCACTGGTCTCTGGAGGCAGGCAGGTCCTCTGTGCCATAGTTTTGGCAGCACAAGGGTGCCCTGGGCTGGCACAGAAGGTCTAGATAATCTTGGGGTTCCTCTATGTTATTATCTTACAACCTTCTTTAAAGAGACAGATTTCCAAACCTCCCCCTCCAACGGGAATGTAGCCATAAAGCGTTATGAAATACTAGGAGTCCTGGCTTAGGTCTGCACTTAGATGAACATTTGATGGGCACCTACTATGTGCACACCTCAACTTCAAAAACAATGAGGAGGCAGGTAACACTACTCCAATTTTGCCTACAAGGACACCATCATTCAAATACTAGGCACCTTGCTCATGGAGACAGAACTGGGATTGGACACCTCCGTCTGACTCTGGAAGCTTGTCCTATCTTTGCTAAACCACAGTGTTTACCCAGAGCAGCCTGTCTCATCACAGTCTTCCTGAACCCCCACCCCTCTCCAATATCACCCTGTTAGAAAGAAGGACAGACTTAGGGACCCAAGAGAATAGAGATGACATCTAAACTTTTTAACCATGGAAAGAAGATGGTGTCTTCCTGGTTTAAGATTGTCGTTATTCTGGAGTTCAATAGTATTTTATGTCAACACATATCATTTACTGGGGTCACGTTAAAGCTTTAGCATTAGTGAGGTGTTAGGGGTACAAAAGGAGTTGAAAGGCAGTCTCCTTTGAGATTTTGACTAATGCTCCATGTCATGTAGCATAAACATGTATATGGAAGTTAGTTTCTGAGTAACTACTTGTTTGAAGTGTTGAGTGTTAGATGGCAAAGGATTCACCAAGGGTATGGGATACAGAAATACAAGGATCCTCTGAGGACTCAGCTGGAGTGCTGGAAACAGCAAGCCTGGAATCCTACTTTATCAGCAAGTCCTAATTTCTGCCCCCCCGTACCTTGGAGTCTGCAGAAACAGGGCTAGCTGTGGGTTTTCTCATAACGAAAATATCACATTCCCTTTCCCACCTACCCCCTATATTTTAATGTTCAAGAAAGGAAAGAATGAAAAAAATGTCTTAACACACCCTACCATGCTGTTACGCTTAAAAATACCGAAAGGATTAAAACTGCCAGACCACATTAAAACTAATGGCTGGTTTGGTGGGACCCTTCATTGCCTTGGCATTGACCATTGTCTCGAGTAATAAAGAAGCATCACAGGCAATTTATTGGGAGTTATTCTCAAATGAATTGCATTTGCTGAGAAAAGCGCATTTAGCATTTGGTGATTCATATGTGGGAAACATTATTGCTCTGGAAAAGAGCTTTAGAATGAGTGAGATTTAGAGCCCAGGGGTAAGAAACCAAAGAGTTTAAGTTTAATTAAAAAAAAGCATGCATTCATTATGTATCTGTGTATGATTATGGATTTGGACACGAGTGCATCAGACAAGTTCTACCTAGAACCCAAACTGTTAACGGTGGTTATCTCTACAGTGAGGAATGGGAATGGAAAAAATGGGTTAAAGGGAATCATCTACATTTTTCAATAAAAAGTAGAGGAAAACAAATATATGGTCAAAAACATACACTTTTATAACTCTTGGTATTTCTGTATTTTAAGTAATTTTTATAATGAAATATCCATAGGTCATTTGTATGTACTTGAAAGTTAAAATTAAAAGGAGTGATTATTTTTTCAGAGCTTTATTGTCCCTGGGAGCAAGGTAGGGAGGATTTTATACTTTCTCACCAAGTCTTTTAAGCCTCTGTGCTCCAGGTGGCTGACGCCAGACCCTCTGCTGCTTGAAGGCCTGCGTCCATGCAGAACCACAGCTGTGGGTTGCTGGGAATGGTGGCCTCAGTCCTAGGACCTCAGGCTGAAAGGTAGATCATTGGAACATAGCTGCCTACTCTCCTTTTTCCTCGTAGCTGTTGCTGGCTCATCAGGGCGCAGATTTACACATAGCCTCCCAGTTACAAGACCTTTCTTATTGCCTTCAACGCCTATATACAGAGAGGCAGAATTCTTTTGAAAGTTATTATTATACAGGTAACAGAAAAGAATCTTGAATACTTTGTTAATCAGAAGGCAAGGTACAAAACCGTATTAAAGTGTGATCATGTATATGCAGAGAAAAGGCCAGAAGGTAGGATGCAAAAATATTAAGTGTCATCAATTGTGACTTCTGGGTTCTAAGAAAATGAGTGACTTTAATTTTCTCCTTTTTTGATGGTTGGTCACGTTCAATTTTGCTCAAGTGATTTCAGTGATGGTATTATAACAAAGAAATGTATTTATTATTTCCTTAAAGCAATACACACAGAAAAAAAGACATTTTGGAAAATACAGGAAGGTAGAAGCAATTACCTGTAATACTTCTATTCAAAATAATCACTATAAACATTTTGTTTACTTCTTTTTTTTCCTATGGATGCATTTGTATATATGTTTGTGTATATATATGTAAATAAATACATACAAATAATATATACAAATATACATCTTTAAAGAGAGATTGGAAGAAAGGTTTAGCTTTATACTCTTATTTTTTTCAGTTAATAGCACATCAAACCTGGATAGCTTTACACAGAGGTGGGAAGATTTTTCATTGTATAGCCTTTTATATCTTCTGAATTTGGAACTACTTGAATGTATAGCCTACTTTAAAATAGATTAAGATAAAACATAATTCCATGTTGTGTTAAGCATTTTCCACAGTATTACATTTTATATACTCATCTTTTTAAGTGGCTGCATTATATTCCTTGTGAACATTCTGGAAGGGATGGTGACTGTGTCACTCACCACATCAGTGGTGCTAAAGTCACCTCAGTCTTCCTGACCATCTCACACCCTTGTCCAGTCTCTCCCAATTTGCCTAAGTAGCATGCAGTTCACAGCTTGGTCTGCAGAGGACTGAGGGCAGATTTCCAGCAGAACTGATGTCACTCTATGGGAATGAATCCGATGTCAGGAAGGATGAGTCAGGAAGGACAGGAGACTCCAAAGGGCCTGAATTAGCAGTGTCTCCAATTCCCAGACCTTTCGTGGACTGCACTGCTAAACCGAGAAGGGACACAATACTATGTATGGGTCCCCTCCTAAGGTGGCTCCAGGGACTTCTTTTGCTTATGACAAGAGGTTTTGGAACATCTATAATCAGGGTAACAGATTGTGCAAGGAGCTGCACTAATTGAAAAATAAAAAAAGGAAATTCTGAAGACCAGAAAACATGGCTTGTTACAGACGTTCCTGTCCTGAAGTAATATTAAAAAAACAGACTGGCTAATAAAGTTCACTGCAATTCTTCCTGATTACTCTATATTGAGAATGATAAAGGTGTTCAACCTCTATTTCAATTAAAAATTCCCCCCATGTAAGACCTACAGAGGAATTGCAGTAATTTCCTAGGCAGAGACGTACTCGTGGCAAACCTTGTGTGAGGAGCTTCCCAATAATGTTCCAGCACCGACCTAACCCCTAGCTTGACCTGCGGCCTCCTTACAGATATGATGGTCATGTGGAAACCACATCAGGGTACCTGCCCAGGCCTCTTGTTTTGTCTACCAACACACTCAAGGGCTTTTATACACAAACCCGTACCACACCCACAGACACCTGCCCGCCAGCCACACATTTATCATGCATGCGTGTGTAGGCAGAACAGCACCAAAGGCAGCAGGGACTCCCTGAGTAACGCTCACGCAGAGGACCAATAATGTAGAGCATAGTTTTACTTCTTGTGGACTCTCCCTTCACCTGCAACAGGTAGTGCAAACTGGTGTTAACTGGACTTGCACAGTCTATAAACAAAATCTGAGCCAACACTTTAAATTTGGGAAACTTATATAAACACCTGAATTTTTGGCTACTCTAGAAGACTCTGAATACCCATCGGTTTAGGCTCTCTCCTGCACAATGCTCAGTGGCAGCTGCCCTCTGCGGAAGGTGCAGGCAATTTTTATTTCGAGTTCAACATTGCTCACACAAGTCCCTGCTGCCTCTTCACACAAAGGTCCCTGTGTCCGCTGCCATTGGTCATTGGGCTTGCATTGTTGTTTTGCTTTTTTTTTATTTTACTGAAAAACTCATGACTTTATTCAGATTAAGGTCCTCTACAAAACTCTACAAAAAGTAGGGTTCTGTCACCTGTGTCTGTGACACATTTACAAAATACCTTTTTTAAAAAAAATTTGGTCAAATTATGAATGGTTGATTGAAAACTTTTCCAGTAAGAAGAAAAAAAGCATGGAGTAGTAATTTAAAGAACTCAATAAAAACTTCTATTTTTTATTTTAAAATAGTATACAAAGTGTTATTTTTTCAAGACTACCTGTATGAGGGAAGTATGTCCGTGCTGACTATCTGCACATCACTCCAGTGGACCAAATTGTTAGGCAAATTTGGGGATATTTATTGCATGTCCTGCTGTGTGTAGAAGGGACAGTCACTGTATAGTACATCTTTGTTCAGTAGTTTCAGGGCACGTCTCACACATTTTCTGTTCATTTTTCATTATTGAAATAGGTGATAGGTGATGCATTATTTGCTGCAGGATATCCTTACTTTCACTAGGAGGCAGATTACTGAAATAGTATTGTGGTGTCATTTGCATAAATAGTTCAGGGGAGATTTCTGAGGTAATCCTAATGTAGTTGTTTTCAGATATGCTGAACTTGTGGAAGTGAACCCACTCTGGCATCTTCTTGGTGATGGAGTAACTGGACAGTGGGTGCAGCTGAGCAACTTGCTTGTGTGTCAGCATTAAGTAGTTACCCGATCCGTCCACATCCCGAGCAATCTGCATGAAGTAACCAGACAGAAGAGCTTTTTTTATGTTCAGAGCATTTTCCTTTGAGCCAAAAGCAGGTTCTGTGCAGGGAAGCTCTATTCGCTTGATGATTTCTGAGAATTCAGCTCGGATAACATCTGCCATCCTGAGTGCACAACAGTTGAGGAAGTAATCATGACACCACTTTTCAACACAGTGCTCACTGGTGGAATTCAGTGCCATGTCTTGGTAGGCCTTGTAAATGTTGATGAGGGCAAAGTGGTCTCCTTCAGGATGTAAAAATGACTTCCAACAAGTCAAGGCAGCCTCCTCAGCTCCACGTGGCAGATGCGAGAAGCAATTAGGAGCTGTCACCATGGCAGCAACTGTTAGCATTTCATCTACACAGTCAAATTCACAGGATGCTAAGATAGACTTTGAAAGCTGGGGATCAAGAGGGAACTCTGACATGATGATTCCAAATTCAGAGAGATTTCCATCATTGTCCAGTGCTGCCAGATAATCTAAGTCTTCCAAAGTCTGCATCAAACTTTCTGGTGCTGGTCTGTTCAAGAAGTCACAGTGGCCTAAGCCTGCGATGTCTATTCTTTTCATGAAAAGCACCATGCTGGTTAGGTTGGCTTCCTGCATCTCAGTGGGCTTGAGTGGCCGCATGTCTTTGGAGGCAAACTCTTCAGAGTATAGACAGAAAAGTTTTCCTGAAGAAGATGAGCCGAGAATCTGCTTGCGAGTCTCTGCTTGGCTTTGGCTGATGGGCTGCATGACCAGTGAGTTCGCTCTTATTCTAGGGTTGTACACCTTTCTTCTTTCCACACCCACATCAATAACAAATTTGACTGTGTTGCTCCAGATCAAAAACTCCGCAGAGCTAGCAGTTAACACCACTCTTCTCTGATAAACTTGGCATCTTTTTTCTGTTTCATCACTTGGCCTGAACAACGCACATTTCTCTTTTGGATACAAAAGAACCACCACCAGCTCTCCAAGATTTGGGTTTAAGTTAGATCCTTCTTGACAAACAATTTCATAGGCTTTTTCAATATCTTGTTCACAGGCCAGAAAGACTACAATGTCGCCTTTCTCATCAGATTGGTGAATTTCAAAGATAAGGTGTAAAACAGACGGGAAATGCTCCTTCTGAGCCCCACTCAGGTACACACCTCCACTGGGTGCTTATTTTTCACTTCAATGAGAGGCACGTTTCCATAGTAAGAGCTGAGTTTGCTGATCAGGTGAGGTGAGGAATTAATTACGAGCTTCAGTTCAGGTCTTGTTACTAACACCTTTAAGAAGTCCGAGCAACATGTCAGTGGCCATACTTCTTTCCTGTATGTCGTCCAAGATGATGACCCCATAGCTACCCAGAAAAGGACTGGACATCATTTCCCTTTGCAACATATCATCAGTACAATACCTGAAGATCACTGTCTTCCATTTTTGAAGATGAGCATTGGAGGGAAAGCAGTTGTTAGTACGAACCAAATGAGTCATTTAGGCATCTGGGAGAAGAACTGCCCCCAGAGTCTGCAGCAGCTGGCGGGGACAGTGCACCACTCCTTCCTTCCGCTGTCAAATGTGTAGGACATCCTCCACGGTACACTCATGTTGGTCACTGGGGATCTCAGTATCGTTTCACTGGTAGAGCAGTTCTCAAAAGGGATCACGTAGCCAACTTCATGGCCAATGTTAACATCCATTTCATCTGCTACCCATAAGGTGAGCTGGACTGCAGTCTGCTTGTGGACCTGTGTGCATACCACACCCCCGTGCTCGTAGCAGACAGAAAGGCAATATTCAGCATACCACTGAGGAACCTGAGAGGTCTTACCACATTTAGCATCTCCTGAAATGATCACAATTTGGTTTTGAAGCAGATTCTCCATAAAGGAATATTTTTCTTTCCATATTGGAAGATCTTCTCTTTCTTTCAGAAGTTTATAATATCGTGATGAATACGGCAGTCCATCAAAAGGGTTTAACTTCCAAATTCTCACAGGCCAAGATCCCCTCCTCATCTGCATCACTGGAATCGAGGGATTCAGGGAAGTAGCGTTTTTCAGAGGAGGAGTTTAGACTTTCCAGGTCCCCTTCCATCTTGTCCAGTGGTGAGCTTAAACAGCTGGCATTCTACAACCAAGTTTCTCTTACAACATTCCACTGCAAATAGGGTTGAATGTCTGCTTATTTAAACTCAGATGTCCCAGGCTCTAACTTGTGTTCCAGGTTTCAGCAAGTTGAATTGGTCAAATCTGCACCTGCCCTTTGCTGTGCTGCCTACTATGCTCTCTGCAGCACACTGAATGATTGTCAATAAACCACACTAAGAAGGAGCAGAATTTAGACCAGAAACTTATTACTCACATGTCCTTCTTCTAATCACTAGTGTTTTTCTCAAAATCCAGTGTTGCTAGAAATAAACCTTTTTTCATTTTACCCAGGTGAAAACTGCCGCGGCGGCTCCCGAATCCCGGGAGGGAGGCGCCCGCCCGGCCGCCCTTCCGCCCTCGGCAGGCCGAGCTTGCCGGACGCACGGACCGACGGACCGACGGACGCCTCGCGACAGGGGCCCCCAGTCCCGCGCTCCAGAGGTCTGGCGCGGGCCCCGATCGCGGCGCGAGGGCCGCCTGAAAGGGCGCCAGCGCCCGACCAGGCCTCCGGGACAGGGTCTTCAGCCGGCGGCCGGGCCTCCGCGCTGGCCCTCGCGCGCGCCCGCGGCTCCACCTGTTGTTTTGCTTTTTGTAGAGAAATAATTTTATTATGTCTGCCCATTTCACTCAATTACTTTACTTGAAGACATTTGAGCTGTAATCCCTGGCCTAGAGTTTTGGGTGTATGGCCTGAAGATTTATTTAGGCATTATCAAAGTAAGATACACAAAAGAAGAAAACAATGCCTTCTGTCCCCTTCTCCACTGTGCTCAGTCCCCTAACTCAATTCCTCACATCAAAACTGGGTTTTGGTCTGGGTTTGAGCATGTTCCTTAGGGACTGGAGTTCGTGGTATCCCTTGGCCAATACTCCAGGCCCGTCTACATAGTTAGCTGTGCTTTCCATTCGTCTCCCAAACAAGCCTTGCCTTCCGCTTTGCATGAGCCGTTTCAAACCCATCAACTTAATTTGTTACAAATGTGCGGCATTCCCTTTCTTGTTAAACATGGACAGATAGGTGCATGATTTCAAAGCTGAGACAAGCACATAATCAAGTGATTTTGTCCAGAACCAAACCATCTGGGCTGAAAACAAGCTCCTTAAAATAATTGTTTTCTCCCCTTGATGGTGGATCACGTTAGAGTATTTAGCTCTGGCTGATTCGGTCTTGCTATGTTGATGAAGTCTGTTTACTTACGTGGTAATGGAACTAAAGGTTCAATGTAACTTACTCTCTGATGTCATAGACAAATCAACTTCAAGACTAAAATATCTAAGTGTACAGAATTTCCATTACATTAGCTTGCTCAAATTGTTTAAAGAAATATTTTTATCCACAAAGACACACACATATGTTTATACAATCACTTGTGCACATCTGTATGTTTATACATTTACACACATATTTGGCCATGCATCAGTGATGGATTAAACCATCACAGGATACTTGCAAATTTAGATGGTAATAACAAGGGGGTCTGTATACTTGATCAAAATGACCTCTGCAAATAGAACCTCTTTTAGAGCACAGTTTTAGCTTTATCTCTGTACAAAAGGCATCGGGAGCCCACTACGAGACTGTGCGGAAGTCACAGCCCCTTATCCCTCCTTTGTAAAGAGAACACCAATGAGAATCTTAGATGGTGGGAAATGGAGAATGTAGCCTGATGTTTTGCAGCAGGTACAAAAGCAAAAGCAGAAAAGCTGTGTTTAAAATCAAGCAGCTTCTCCACTGGTTTGATGAAAGCCAGGCTCCTCTCTCTGCCCTTACTCTCATCTCAGCCTGACTTCCAAGGACAAATAGTGCACATTAATTAAATGCCAAATGATTATTTAAAACACTTGTGAAGGAATAATTATTAGGCATGAAACAGATATTTGCATGTTAGCCTGCAGTGCACACATTTTGGATAATTTACAGGGTATTGGAGCTATACAACTATCCTGCTAAATTCCCCCTTCTCTCTACAATCTCCACATGCTGGTATAAGTAGTGCACGTGGAAGAACAGCTGCACTGAGGATTTAACTTATTTTCTCTCACTTATCATTAGCTCCCAATGGGTTTGCTTTTAATGAAGAGTCTCTGATTAAAAATGGGTTTTTGCAAAATCTAAATTAAATGCATAGCTTAGGAAATACTTTCCTGAAACAGTCTCACCACACTAAGTCTTGTTAGCATAGTAAAAACATGTACATGCACTCTAGTAATAAGAAGTGGCCATCATTTAACCATCCTCCGGTTACTTCCCTAAATAATTCCAGCCCTTGACTTCAGAATAAAGGAGGTTTATATTACAGTGTATTTGATGTCAGGATTAGAGTGGGGAGAGCCAGTAGTTCAGAGTAGAACAGATTCAGGTTCAAGTTTGAGCTCCGTCACTTTTTAGAGAAACCTTTTTCTCATTGTGTCTTAGCTCTCTTGTCTCATTTATCTTAGAGAGTCTTAGAGAGGATTCAATATAAATAACATTTTAAGATTGTATGAATAAATGCTGGCTGCACTTCAACTTTTGAATTGATTAATTTGCACAATGACCACTACCATTTCTCAGGCACTGAATATGCACCAGTTTTTCACACTCTCCCCATTTAACAGACAAGAAAAGAAAGCTAGAGCTATGTGAGGCAAGAGGCAGAGAGGCCTTACATCCCATAGCTAGGAATAGGAGAGGGAAGAATTAAAACCAGACCATCTGACTTTGAAGTCAACCCTCTTTACCATATGCTGCCTCTACACTTCCTCTTTTTTGATTTCGCTCTCTCTTTTCCCACACGTACAGCCAGAAAAGTTTGGGTGTGCATTCCATACAGACTGACAGTTGAATGTGCATTATACCCTTTAATCCTTACAATGTCTCTGTGACATATTTTACACATTTTACAACTAAGAAAAGTAGGATGCACATATCTGTGTATGGCTCCTCAACTAAAGTGGCCAAGTGGGGCTGTTAACCCATGTCCAAACCAAACCAGAGCCCTTGAACTTCCTGTATGGCTCCCCTTATGCTCAGTCTCTGCTCTGCTGCCCTGGTCCTCCTATGCTTTCCCAGACCCGTTCTCCCTCTCTTGGTGCCTATCCAGCCTGGATGCATTTATTACAGTTCAGCCCTACCTGACCAGTCTCCTGATAGGAGATTCTGTTCTGTATTCTGAAGCACTTAGAAGCCAAGATCAGCATTTAATTCCAGACTGGCTGCTATTGTTCTAGGCATTTTAGGTTTGTTGGTCTCTTTTCTCCCTAATATGACAACAAACTCCTTACACCTCTGTCACTGCATCCTACCCAGTGCTTAACACCTTCAGAGCCCCATACATATCCATAGTAATGCAACTGGTTGCTGCTAGTTTGAGAAGCTCTACTGCTCTTCTGTTTAGTGACTGGAAGACCAGATTTAAAAACTGCACCATTAGTTTTCCCCTAACTCAGTTGTTTTTTTTTGAACTAACTTGTGTATAAATATTTTTAAATTAATACATGTTCATGATTTTTAAAAATCCAGATATAAAACAAAAAGTAAAATCAATGTCTTTCATCCTCACTCTGACCTCTGATCTCTTCATCTATTATCTTGTTATTTTCTTGTGTATATCTTTCTTGAAAATGTTTATACATATACTGGTATCTATACATCTTATTTAAAATAGGCACAAGTAAGTATACACAGTGTTCTACATTTTTCTTTAACTTAATAGCACCTCTCAAACTCAACTATATCTTTTCCATATCTGCACGGGCAGCTCTTTTAAATGATTACATATTATTCCTTCGATATGGATGTACCATAAACTATTAACTGGTCCCCTATTGAGGGTTGCTTCCAGTTTTCCGGGACGACAGTGAACGTCAAGGGATATATATCTTGGACTGTTTGGTGAATGTATCTGTTAGAAAATTTTGTAGCAGTGCAATTGCTGGATCTAAAAGGGTATGTGCACTTCAATTTTTGAGAAAATATTGCCCAAGGGGTCTCCAAAGAGGTTGCACTAATCCTATTTATTTTGAGTGGTTCACATGGACTCTGCTCTGTAGGTCAAAATCCCCAAGGAGTATCCCAAACAAGAGCTGATGCTGTGGGCTGCATCAGAGTCTGTCAAGGGTTTGGGAAAAATGTAATCACGGTCAGAGAGAAGAAGCTCAGTACTGAGTTGTCATCTGCATGTAGAAAATGCAGAGCACAGACTGAATGGGTGCCTTCCACCAGCTGCTGCACTGTTACTTAAACTTTCTGGGAACAGCCTTTTAGTAACTGAGGATGAATACACTAGTCCTCCTGAGAGGGAGGAAACCTGGCTTCTAGTCCCAATGCTGCCATTCATTTGGCTGTATCACCTCCAGCCAGTCCCTTCTCCTCTCTGTACTTTAATTTTCTTATCTATGACATAGGTGCACTCAGTCACAAACTCAAATACATACTCATAGGGTTGAGGCAGAGAACTAACTCAGTGGCTGGGCAGAGATGGCCTCAAACAGGGCAGCACGTGCTCCATCTAGGGACTGAGCCGAACACCAGTCCAGGGTACTTGGGGGTGAACACAGGGGCCCATTGTTGCTATATCTCTCTGTTGCCAGGGGGAATCCAGAAACATATTTCATGCAAACTTTCTAGATTTCTTTCCCTAGATTTTTAAATACTAGAAACTGATTACAATTTTGAAAATTCAATTTGATATTTACAATTCAAAAATCTCCAAGTTCATAATACACAAAAAGAGAAAAAGTAAACTTCTCTTCCAGGCTTCATCACCACCGTTTAACTCTTTACTCTGCAAACTTGTAGTCATCGAACATTTATCTGGTCTTTCCTGTGGGCATTGCATTTCAGGCTAATGAAATAGCTCAGTGTTCTGAGCTTTTCTTTATATATGAATTCTAACTAATAGAGGTAAATAGAGTGGTAGAAAAAAATCATGTTTTAAACTCCAATTAAACAGTCATCAGTGAATGCTAAAATTGTTAAGTTAAAGGTTGACTCAGGATGCCAAATTATTAGTCACAGATTATTGCTGGTAGGGAGGGTAGAAAAACAAGTGACACTATGTCAGGAGTATCCTGATGTGGTACTCTGAAATACAGCCTCTTTTATGGGGTATTCTTGTCAAAAAATTTAAACCTGAATCTAAGCAAGCCCAATTAACTAGTTGCTAAAATATGAGGGATAGAGGAAAAAACTGAACTGTATAGCAGTGAAGTCAATCAGAAAAATCTAGAGGGCAGGGCATTCTTCAGGACCTGGTTTCTTCAACAAGAGAAAAACAAAGGAAACCTCCAGATTAAAAGCAGAGGGTAACATTTTAGACCAGCACTATCCAACAGAACCATACTATGGGCCACACATGCCGGTCACACATGTAATTAAAAATTTTCTAGTAGCCTTATTAAAAAAAGCAAAAACTGCATTAAATATATGTGGACTAGATATTAGATGATACTGAAGGAATTACTCATTTTGTTAGGTGTGATAATGGTGTGTTGTTATGAAAACATAATTTGCTTTTTAGTGAGGCACTGAAATACTTAGGAGTAAAGTGTTGCAATGCCTG